ATCATCTCTGTGAGGACCATATCAGTCTTCTGTGCACTTATGTGTAAGTACTGGATGTCTGTCTGCTTTTTTGGATCTGACATTCCATGAGTAAAAGTCACAGGTATGTTGAGGTAAGTTCCCATCTACCTTCTATGAAGTAAATATGAAACATAAGTATGTCTTCATCAGACAAAGCCAACCCTTGTTTGGACTATCCAAATTAAATAGGAAATGAAATGTGTGCAGGTACTACTACTGTACATGAAATACAGCAAAACTCGAAATACAGTATGAGATGTAAAACTTGCAGTATAGACTACAGTAAAGAGGAACTGAATACAAACTAACAGAGCTCATTAAAGATGTAAACTCTTCAACAAGTATATGACAATATAAACGTATTTATATGTAAACTTCTATATAATTATTTTGTTGCAATAATGTTTTTGTTTATTAATTTGTTAATATTTTTTTCCGCATAAATTAACTAGCTCCCTGATAACTGTTTTCTGTAGTCACCTTTAGTCCTTGTCTCTCTGAAAGGGAGGATCAGCTATTCCAACTTCTCAGGAACCTAAGGGCCATGCCCAAAGCCATGGTGAAGATGTTGGGATGGCCTGAACTGTTTTTGCTACCTTGTCCCAACCAAATTATTCAGCATTGCTGTCAGTTGGCTTTTCAACAGTTGAATATTTGGGATACTTCTAAGGACATGAAGAAATAAAAGGATAATATGGACATCAAGAATCGTTAGAGAACTGTGTACTGCTATGGTGGAGAGAACAGTGTAATCTATAATTTGCTGTTCATCAGTGTGATTATTCATGAGTATAACATACCTAAACAATTTTGAGAATGTAAGGGTGGTATGTCTGAACTCTGATTCAGATATCTGATTTGGTTCCAACCAAGTTAATAAGGAAAGGTTTAGGGAAGTTTGAAAGAAGAAAACTACAACTACATTTTTGTAAACGGGTAATAAGTGAAATGTTTTTTAAGAAATACTCTGCTGCAAAAATGGGGACAAATGAATATATTATGTACTATACTTTATGCAGTGAGAATATTTGAGGAATAAACTATGTTCTAAAGCTTTTAAGCAGTGAAACAACTTTATTAAACATGAGGTGGTTAAAAACAACTAGTAATGTCTGACCCTCAGCAACACCATTTTCAAGTGTTTTTTCCGCATCTTTAAATGACTTGTTGTAATTTCAGAGCCTTATTTTCAGAATGACCACACAATGCAGTGTGTATTTCACTTGTGTAAACTGTTAATGCCAGCTGATTTGTGTCCAATATGAATACGTATTTTAAACCTCATTCATCCCATCGCTTTTTACCTTTACCCATATAGACAGGGAGCTTCATCATTGTCAACATTCAATTGAATACTGAATACAAATGTGGTGAAAGAAGAAACATTTTATTAAAAATAAAAGTTTACATTAAAAACATTTCCTTGGTAATACCAATAATAAAGATGGTTAAATCTCATAACCAGATAGGCTGGTCTTTGAAGAGCACATAACCAGAATTTGTAAAGTAACATTTGAATGTTAAAAGGAACATTTAACATGGCTACAGTCAGAGGCTTTACTGAGAGATCTCAACTAAAGCGATGCTATTGAGCTAAAAGTGGTCACTACATGAACAATTCTACATAATGCATGCAGTATATGAAGACCCATTTTATTTTGATGCTTAAAAAAAGTTAAATGTTTATCCTTATATAGTCTCAAATAGCCTCTTTAACAAAACATCTTCTACAACAGTAACCTAATCTAAAAGATCAAGACCACTTCAGGTAACACTGGCTATTTAATCAGGATCCTCAAGAGTCATCCATAAACAGGATGTAGATTTAAGGCAAGTGTGAATGTTTATGAAGACCTGCAAACAGCTATAAAAAACGCTTATATGCCAGACTTGCTTTTAGTAGCAATACTTTCTAGTACTGAATTGACACAGCAGCTGAGAACCTGAGAATTAGGAACAAGGATTCCTGAACAATTACACCCTTTTGCCATTGCTGGTGTCAAATATGTTGATCCACAAGGTGGGTAATAAGAACACAAATTTATCAGACTGCATTGTATAGTGCCTGTGCAATAATAATCAGTAAAAAGTGTCCACACTTTTTACACATCAGATTTGCTGAAAACAACAATACCTGCAATGCTGGATTTGTATGACCTACTTCAGATTTTTTCTCTAGCAACAAATGCTTGCAGATAGTAATAAGGGTCTGAACTTGATGTGGTCTGTTCAGAAAGAAGAACCAGTCCAACATGAGATCAGGACCAATGGGCAGACTGGCATTTTACCAAGATACCATGACAATATGACATCTGAGAATAGTTTCAGTATTTACTAAAATCTTTACTTCAGACTTGTTTTCACTAACTAGTAAGTGGTTTTCATGAGATTCTAGTCAATAGATAGATGTGGGGTTGGCTACACTTTTGGCTGCAATTCAATGGTGGTTTAAACAAATCTTTCACCAGGGTGGTACATCATTTTGCAACTTACAAAAATGAATAAAGGAGCAAAAACACAGTTTCATCACATTCTATAGCAGACTGCACACAGCAGTGATGATGCTGTTGGAATGTAAGCCCTCAACCTCAGTGAGGTTTGTGTTGTGCAGCTTGAGAACTTGGATCTGGCAGAGATGGATTTGGCATTGGTAACAGTATACCAGTTTGTTGTAGTTTGTGAATGCACCACCGAAACACATGAAACAAGGGATAATAGCACTATAGTTTTTGTAGCCAAGACTGAGCTTTCTTGGAGTGCTAATAAAAGGTCCTAAATATCTATTGCTCACCATTCTTTGCAATTCTGCATAATTAGATCAATGTCAATCTAAACAATGTCCACAACCCACACATTGCTTTCAAGAACTGCATTAAATTCTGAATGGAAATCTGGGAAGTTCTCATAGCTGTCAGCTATGTGCAGAATCTTCCCACATGTGTGCCCAGTTGGTCCTCTCATCATTTCTTCAAATTCCACATAGATGCTGTCTGTAACTATGAGATCAGATCCAGTGCAGAACCGCAGAAATTTTTGAAGTTTACCTTCATTTAGCTCTCTGATGAATCTTTTCTGACTTCCTTCTGTTTTGGAGTCAAATTGACGTCAGATTTCAGCAGTTTGCAGACCTTTTTTGTGGTTGGTTGCAGGTCAGGGGACAACTTGGTTGCCTCAGGATTGAGGGATAGATGAGGATGGGTGATTTCCCTGCAACAGTCAATGACAAACATGGGTTTCTTTGTGTGATATTTCATCAATTATTGTAGGAAGAGTCTCCGCTGTGATTTTCCTTCTACAGCCATAGCCGTCAAGAACTTCCACAAGATCATCAGAGTGCAGAGAAATCAGTCATTGCAGAACCTCCCGTTCTTTACTGCTCACAAACTGCAGAAAATGTTCTTTAAGATCACTATTGAAAAGCACCTGTTCAAGGAAAGGGAGTGCCAGTTTGTTTGGCAAATACTGACAATCTTGATAACCTTTCAAAAGGATTCTGCCAATTGCCTTCCATGTTTCAGCAGGGAAATCATGGCAAACATCAGCCTTGACGTCTCGTACATAGTGCCAATGGACAGGCAGGTTTCATCAGTAGGATGCTTCTGTTTGAAGTCCCACACCTCAAACTCGAAATCTGATTCTGATCCTTTAGGAGATATTCCATCAGGAAAGAAACTTTCCTTCTTGAAGGATGTCTTTTAATCCAGCATTAATTGCCAATTTAACTTTTCTGTTGCCACCTCCCTGCTTTGCCCTCACCTGTCTGGCTACATTAATATCACTGTGAATCCATCCTATCTCTACATTTCGGGTTGTTTTAAGCTTTTTTTATCTGTGTTGATGTTGTGTCTGCATCTGATATGTTTTCCTTGGTGCCTTCCTTTCTGACTTTCATTTTCTCACAAAGTTTTTCCAAAAGTCCTTGTTTTCGCTTTGAGATGGGCTTTTGCAGAAATTGAAGAGGGCAATTCGGTCTCCATAGGAGGGGATGTAATTCAAGTTATTCAGTTATTCAAGATAACTTCACCCAGGATTAACAAATCAATCCTCAAACTGTGTTCAAAAAGAATTAGCTAGATGAGAATGAATAGGATTACTTCAGCCTGATAATAACACGTTAGCCTGAATGAGTTAAGCCACATTTGAAGAAGCCCCAAAGGGACAAAGAAATCTTTTCAGACCAAATTTAAATATTTAATTATTTAATTTGAGCTCTAACCTTTATTCATTCACCATCATATACTGCCCTTTTGTTTCTCTTTCACTTCATTAAAATCCTGTAGACATATACAGTATATCACTATATTTACCTAGTAGTTCTGCTCACACTGTACCACAAAATGCAGACACCTGTTAATTCACTGTCTTTAGGGTAAGATGGGTAGCCAGTGAGGCTGTCAGCACTTGCACACTTTTCACTCTGAAACACGTCCTTTCCTTCTGCTGCTGTGCAACATTAAAAGTGTCATTGTACCAACAAACAAAATAAGCAACAACTAACTGAACACAGTCACTGGCTGTCATTTCCTAAAACAGCCCAACACTTGTTTTTAGCAAACATTATTAAAAAAGGAAGACCACTTTCAGCAGCGAATGAATCCATATTTGGTGCTCCAGCAAGTTATTTCCAACAGCAGTGCCAGTGTATGTGGGACTGAGTTGTGTGTTCATGGTGATGAAGGCAACAGGTCACCCAGAGCAACAATGTGGCTCACTGATGTGTTTTTAAATGTTCATCTTCCTCTGTGATTATACACACCCTCAGTGGAGTTATCTTGCTGGATGAATAATTACATATTTTACTTATTTATATTATTATATTTACTTACCATTTTAGCTGGAATGAAATTTTATTTGGGTTGAATGTTGTATTAAAATGATTATTGGTAGAAAGCCTTTTTGACAGTGTTTTCCACAGCTGAAGTAAACCATCATGAATATCCTTGAGAGAAAAGAATCAGGCACAAGCCAAGCAAACTAGCTATATTTGCACAAACAAAATTTATTTGGCCGTATGGTAGACACATTCACACAGATTCTGGAGGTTTCTGACTTGCAAATGGAAAACAGAAGTTTTTTCGCCTTCCGTAAGTCACCGTAGAAAATACAGTAGACATATTTACAGAAATTCTTGATGAATCTGACTTCAGAAAATACAGTGTTGTTTTGTGTAGCTTTTTACAAACACACACATTATTGATATCCTAATATTACAAGCTTAGAAACAGCTACCCCACCGAGCTTTATGTTTCCAAGCCCAACCAACTTGACAGTGAAAAAAAGTCTCATAAAAGAAAATCAGTTTAAATATGGCCAAACAAAGCCAAAACTAGTTTCTGTGATATTACAGTGCATCAAGTTGCACTGTGAACACAGTGAAACTGTCTGAAGTCCTGCTGCAGTTTTAAGAACACACCATCATAATGGTCACATATAAAAACTATTCCTGTACAGATATTTGAAGGGAAATCAATGGTTATGTTACTGTAAGATCAGTGATGTGGTTTAAGACTACTATTCCTGTTTATCATCATGCAACACATCAATGTGGACCATTGTGTATAATATAATACTGGTCACTGAAGGACTTCATTAACAGCTGTCTGAGGCTGCATCACAGGAAGCTCCAGCCTCTCGCACTCCATCAGCTTCAGGGTCAGGTGCTGGGCGATCTCATTAGGATCAGTGTACAGTGCAGCTGGAACATTCTGAGGAGGAGAATAACATCTGTGTAAAAATGCAACAATAAATACAGTACATCATGGAAGACTTTCAAATATGAATCGTCAAGAGGTTTAAAGCACATTCTACTAAGACATAAAATCTGGTAATAAAGGTTTTATTTAACCTAGAATTTTCCCATATAAATGTAAGCATTAAACAAAATGATTTAATCAAATACTTGGTGACAAAGTTTGATTGCAAATGCTGTAACATAGACATGATTTACGCAAATCTCTGTAATATAGTTTTAATTTTATGCAAATATCAACAGGTATAGTGTTTACATGTATATACAGCAGTGCTTAATTTGTGCCGGAGCTCGACGGAGCGCTGCTCCAGTACCTCTGAGTTTAAGCCTTTTGCGCTTCGGCACCCCAAAATGCGCTCCTACACTGCACTGCTGTTCTACACAAATAAAATCCAAGATTTCATCCAGGGTATGTCTAATCGCCCTTTAAAACAAGTGCAGGTACGCCATGCATTTTAATTTAATTAATTATTTAATCGCAAATTATTAATGGCACATTTCACAGACTCCGGCACCTAATAATTTACATATTAAGCACTGATATACATTATATGGTAATGTTAGATAATCAAATCATATATCAGGCATAAAAACACTCGGTGGCCACTTTATTAGTTACACCTGTAAAATCTATTTCAAGCCAATACAACAATTCCCCGTTTTAGAAAGATAGTGATGTTCAATTTTGATTGATATGTTTGATGTCTGAATGAATTACTCGTATTTCTTTTGACATGAGACCAGACCCCCCTTCTCACATTTTTGTAAAAGCAGCTTCTGAAATAACCAGTTTAGTGAGTCAGTTTGTAGCCAGTGTTCAGTTCCACTATTTTTAGACTAAAGACAGACTAGAATAGAATATCATGGGGAGGATCTGGGTGTGACACTGGACAACCAGCTGTCTTTCACTGCCAAAATCCCTGCAACAAACCCCTCCTACAGATTAATTCTAAACAACATCAGAGGATACATCCATTCGTCACCCAGGAGGAAACGCAGGTTCTGTTCCAGGCTCTTGTCATCTTGCACATAAAATACTGCAATTTCCTCTGGCCGGTATGTCTGCATATACCATCCAAGCTCTGTAGCTCATCCAGAATGCAGAAACTAAGCTGGTGTTCAACCTACCCGCATCCTGTGCTGGCTACCGGTGGCTGCTCGCATCAGATTCAAGACACTGGTACTTGCCTACCATGCTGTGAATGACACCCCAGCCAGTCCACTTCACTCTGCAACTGCAACTCTGCCAATCAGCTTGCTACTCCCTCACTATGGAGGGGGTCAGCTACCGCTCAACAAAACATTCATCATCTTTTAATAACTGTAAAGCACAGGAGGCCTCTGAACGCTGGAAAAATAGCGGCCTGGTCTCAAACTTTCTCATATTACAGCTGGAAAGTACACTAAAATGTGTTTCAGAAAACATTTGAGGTGAGAAATTGGCAATTTAGAAACAGAATTTTTGTTCGTATTCGACCAGCACAAGACTCATCAAGTTTGTTTGTTGAACATGCAAATAAATCAGCTGAAATGAAGACTGATCTATCTAGGTATCTGAGTCTGTGGCGTTGCGATTTGGACTGTATTACAGAAAAAAACTCCCCATATGAGTGACAGAGTTTAAAGTGGTCATATTATGCTCATTTTGAGATTCATCATTTTATTCAGGGGTTGTAGCAGAACAGGTTTACATGGTTTCAGTTTAAAAAAACACCATATTTTTTGTCATACTGCACATTTCTGTGTTGAACGCTCAGTTTTAGCTATGGAGTGATGCATCGCAGTGTGTTTTCGCATGCGTTTTTGAGGGCGTGTCTGACTAGCCGCTAGGCGAGCATTTTGACGGGTATTTTTTTTGACGTGGGCATAAAGCGGAAGAAAAGGCTGGACTACAAAACGAGCTGTTTCAGGCAGTTCAGAGCAGTGTTTTCTGTGGGAGATAGGAAGCGAAAAGCAATGAGATAACTTCTGTTACGGACTGGCGCTTTAAAAATAACACTGAATTGAAGGTAGCATTACTAACCAAATGCCCACTGACTTGAGTAATTACGAACAGGTAAGGGTGACAACTCATCATCTCATCATTATCGTGCCCATCATGTGAATATGTCCCACTAATGTTACAATCCACAGCATCTTCACATTCTGCAGAAAATATTTCTGATCTAATGGCTGGTGGTAAAAAGAGCCATGTTACAAATGAATAGGAGGTGAGAGAAACTGTGATGAGTCTGTCCAATATATTATTTGTTTTTTTGGGAGGGAATGTCACTATCACCTGTTGTCATTTTGATTGCCTGCCCAACATCAAGAGGGCAGCCCTGACCAGAACTGTGCTGATTCCTGCTCCGTAGCTGTGCCTTGTAGCTTGTAATCAGTACATGCCGTGTTATAGCTCACCTTCAGTTCTGCTATTTTGCTTTCCCTCGTACTGAACTCTCGGAGCATGTAGTTCTTCCCAGCCTGCAATCAAAAACAGCATCAGCATTCATTATTTACTGGAGCCTTTACCACACTCAGTATGGATCATCTTCTGCCACAGTTCAATTGTAAAACCTTCCACTGCAACTTGCCTCGTGATACAGTCGTGTGTCATTTATTCTAATCAGCACTCCATCCACTCGTAGGAAGAAACGCAGCAACAAGAAGAAACTGGTGGGCATCACCCTCTGTAACAAGACACACAGCTACAGGTTACACTGCAGAGTTGCTCTCACAAAACACATTAGTTCAAACTGTTTGCATGCAACATTTTTTGTTTTTAAATTATTATTATTTTTAATTCTTCTAACAATTATTTATGCTTTTCATAGGCATGTGCGAATGTGTGTATGTATGTAGGTTTTTTTCTGGGCCGATCCAGGCCAATCCTGATACCGATTATTAGTAACCAATTAGACTGAATTAGACGATGACCGATATTTGGATGACCATACATTTGCTGTAAAAAATTTTAATCTTGGTGACAAACTTGATAAATAGTAAATTAAATGAACTAGAGATCTATCCCAGATTGATGATACTATTTATTTGTTCTGTTCTTTATCTATACTTTTATTGGTTTTTCATTACTAAAGAATTGCCTTTTAAAAATATGTTACTTAAAAAAGAATGAATTCAGAACTGTAATCAGGACATGACAGTTTATTATACCCTACTGTTTTCAGAGCAGCAACAAAAGTAAAGTTTACAGCAGTGAATTAACAATATAGAATCAGTATCTCACTGGGAACAAATGGAACATGTAAAATAAAATATATTCCTGACATCAACATACTGAGTGAAGTTTAGAGAGCCCAAACAGTCCCTTTCATTCCTTCCTCTGCTGTAGAGAGGAGCTGGTTTCCCCTCAACAAGCAGCGGAGTTTACAAGGATTTGCTAAATTTTAAAGGTACGTAGCATCTCAGCTAAACAGACTACAGACAGATTTAGCTTGTTTGTAACAAACAAGCCGAGCTAGCACATGTGCTTGTTTAAACCAAAACACAGCTGCGGTGGATGAGACAGAGCAAATGAAAATATCTAGGTGCACGTTCCTGCCTGTTGTGCTGATGCAGTATCAGCCTTTAGGGGGAGAGCGGGGTGAGTTGAGCCAGTTTTTACTTGAGGTGTCTTTAAAGTGAGGACATGACAGTAAGGTCTGTTAAAAGGCTGTGGTGCATCCCTGTGAATAATCAGTTTGGATCTAAAATAAACTGTTTTAAAAATATGGCCTTCCAAAAAAAAGTGCCCCATGTGAGGGGTAAGTTGAGCCACACGGGGGTCGGGGACATCAATGTCATTTCATCGTACAAACTCAAACGCCAGATCCCAACAATCCCTTGCACTTAGATAGTGAAACATTGCAGCTATGTCTCCTAGTTTTTTCATATCAATGTATCATTTTTAAAGTCATCTTGTTGATCATAATGTCTTGTGCCACCTGATGTATAGACTTCCCTTTTTTGTACATCTCCCACTACTCTGTCCAAACCCACCAGAGGAGTTGAAGCCTGTCTGTGTTCCATTTAAAGAAGCATGACATGATGGTTTCTGGTTTAAAACGCATAATGCCACATCATTTCAGTGATGCACAAGAATGCAATGTAAAATTACAGTAAAATATCTGGCTCATTTCCCCTTTAGTCTTTAGGCTCAAATTACACCATCCCTGCCATTCTAACAAAATTGTGTCATCCAGCTGTTTAAGGGTAATGTCATGCTAACAGTATAGCCACAAATTATAACTTCCTAAAGCACTAACACATGTGTAAGATTTTCTCAAACCTGTCTGTAATTGTTCAGACAAGAATCAGGACGCAAACATAAGAAAATCACTTTGAACGGCAAAAAACTGTTTTCTGATCTTAAATGTGCTCATCACTTATTCCATGGGCCTCTCACCATCACAGGGTGAGTAAAATGGATGACTCTTCAAAAATATGTGGTCACATGACCAATTTTGTCTATGGTTGCCAAGAAACAAGGGGTGGCTCAACTTCTCCACAGGCTCACGTCACCCCGCTCTCCCCTACTGCTGTTTTTGCTGCACTTACTTCCAGTAACGGCCGTAGTTGTAGTCAACTTGTGTAATCTACACTCCGCTAGCTCTGCGTGTGTGTGTGCAGAGCTCTGGTGAGACAGGAGAGGAGGGGCTACAGCGTGGTGGTAAATTCCTCGTATGTGTACACATACCTGGCAATAAAGCCGATTCTGATTTTGATTATTGGAAAAATGCTGAACAACAGTGCTGATAATCGGCCAGACCGATGATTGGTCAACCCCTAATGCATGTGTGTTTGTGGGCATGTATTTATGGATTGTTGAGAGTAAGATTTGGGCCCTGAGTCTCTAACAAAGTTTTAATTAATTGATTCAGTATATCAGTGCAACTTTGTCTAAATCTTAAATATTTGTAAATCTGGGGCCGTATTACAGAAGGTTCCTAGCCTAAAAATCTAACTGCTTGGTAACCATGGTAATAAGGGTTAGGACCTGGCCATTACAGATAAACAGTTGCTAAGTAAATGTTCCTTTCCTAACTTAAGATAGGAAAGTGGATTACAGAAGCATCCTAACTTCGTAAAATCTTAAACTCTCCTAACTTTAGAACTATTCAGCTGTGCTAACTTGCACCTTTCCACCAGGTGGTGTTTGTTAACTCGTTTAATCCACATGGCTGCTCTTTCATTGCTTTAACAAAATCAACAAAATGTCAACAGGTGGAAATATTAATTGATCTACCGATGTGTTAGATGACAAACACTCTTTAGTAGAAAGGCCGTAGGCGATGTAACGCGAGATAATGTTTCATTATATAAATAATGTAAAGGCTTGATGTTAACAAAAGGATCCTAATGTAAGTCTGTGATAGAAGGATTTTGTTAAAGACAAGAAATAAATGAAAAACAGGATGACATTAGCCTGTAGCCTTTATTATTATTAGAACTTTTTTTTACCTTCATTATTAACTTTCCCGAGGAGAGTAGCTACAGGTTTCTGCCGGGGTCAGTGAGGGAGCACAGGAGGAGCCGCCACCGGGTTTCATCTGCTCTTTGGACACAAGAGTTGCCTTTCTCTACGTATCACTTGTCAGTGGACTTATTTTCTTCTTGACAGCATCAACGCTCGACTGGATGCCGAATATAAAGCAGAGACTGTGTCCGCTATTTTAGCAAACTCTCTTTCTTTCATTCCCGAGTGAGCGTTATGTCAATTTGGATTTCTCAACGCATGTTACCAACACCTCCTAAGTCATCTGACTCAATAATAGTTGTTGTTTCTGGTCCATTTTTCAGTGTATGTTTCATTAAAAAAACACCAAAAAAACAAAACAACAGTTAAATATTAGATTAAAATAGGAACTTTCTGTAATACGGCCCCTGGTCCTCATTTGAATCGACAGTGTGACCTGTTTGACATGAACACAGCACTCACAATTTTGACGCTGATCATTGAGACTCCGTGGTCATGCAGCTCGTCTTCGAACAACAGCACCTCATCAAAGAACATGATCTGTTCCCGAGCCTTCAGCTTCTCCATGTCGATGCGTTCCGCTGTCTTAGTTACCTTCAGAGGAACAGGTAGAAATGAAACACAGGTGCAAGGAGCTGTTCAAAGACACAAAATCCCTCTCCACATGTAAGACTTCTAAGGGTCCAAATAACAAAGGAGTTGATGATACTGTGTTCCATTCTGTTACTGAAGACAACCCACCTTTATCTGCATACCTTCTCCTATCAGAGTTCCTCTGTAGTCTGTGGTGTATGTCCAGTCGTAGGGTCTCACCACCTCTTTGGAGTGTTCAGAATCAGCTCTAGAAGGAGTTCCCAGCGATTCATGTTAACAACGCAGGTGACATTTTTTATGCCTCTGTTTAATATATTATTTTACATCATTTTTCAATACATAACTATTATTTTCTAAAAAGGAATTTTCCTTCTTGTAGCTATTCTGACAACATCCCTGTGTGATATCTGCGACATCCTGTTGTCTCAGAGTGGAGCTCGCCAGCCTGCAGCTCTTTGCCTGCAAACGCCACATCGTGTTGTTTTGTGATTTCATTTTGAATCCAAATTTTATTCAAATTATAAATTACATAAATACAATTAATTTCATACATTTCATTAGATACTTATCTTCCTAATTTTATTTACATCATATATCACTGAGAGCCCACCTGAGAAGTATGCATTACTGCTTGAAAATGGAAGAGATCTACAGGAGAAAAGGCCTCATATTACCGTGAAGCAAGCGTTGGGGGCGGCACAATTACATACAAAGTCAATTCACAGAAGCAGAGAAACGCGATTTCCTGAGGATGTGTTGGCCGCAATGCAAAGGGATTCATGTCAATGAAAAATGTTCAACTTGAGTGACACAGTGTTGTGTGTGTTGCTATCAGCGTTGACTGAGATTTATTTTTTTTAAACCTGTCCTGCCCAGCAGCCTGGTATAGAGCATGATGAGCTGGATACCATATTGTGCCAGAAAGATTTTACTTTAACAAGAGAGTATTAATATACTCCTTTGTCTGTTTTATTATTTATTTAAATTTATTTGTCACCGGGCCAGACAGGGGGGCAGACATGGGGATGGGGGGGCACAAACAGACAGCACAGAGAAAGGACAACACCTGCAAGAGAAGGGTGAGGGGGGTGGGGACAACAGGGAATAGCAGAGGGAAACACCAATTGCAGAAAGCAACGAAACCTCCAATAGAACAGAGAGGGGGGCTTGGGGAGGAGAAAAACAACAACAACAACAACAACAACAACCACAACCACAACCAAACACAAACAAAAACAAACAATAAAAATAATAATAGTAAAAACAACCAGCCGAACAGCAGCAATAAACAGCTGACATAGTAAGACAACAGAGAGAAATGAAAACAAGAAACAGTCAAGCAACATAAATAAGCAACACAGCACAGCCATGAGAGCTGGAATAATAACAATTAATTTAAATAAGTAACTGAAAGAAAAGCATCAAGAATAATTCTGCCAGGGACAACCTTTGTTTGTGTGTAAGTCTGTGTGCGTGTGGGTGAATGTGTCTGTGTCTGTTACAGAATGTAGTTATTTGTGAGTGAGACGCCACGACTGCGCTGCACCGACTCCAGCGACAGGCAGGCAAGACCCCCAGTAGCCAATAGGGGTGGGAGAAAAAAAAAAAAAAAAATAGAAGAAGTTGACTCCCAGATGGACCCCGACCCAACCAACAAACGCCGAAGACACCGGTCATCCAAATGGTAATCGACAACGCAATGCCGCCGAAAGCAAAAGGTGGAACCCGGAGAAGAGCGGCGCCCGGACCGACCGTGGCGCGCACACATCAGAGACCAGTGCAAACACGCTGTCCAGGCCACGGTGCACCGCGATTAACAATCTGCCGTCCCCGAACCGCCGGAAAAGTGAAGGCCGCCAGCACCAGCCAACATCCCCCATGCACAGCAGGGAGCGATAACGCGGCAGAACCAGGAAGACAGTCACCAGCCCAACATCCCGCATGCACAGCACGCACTCTGGCCGCCACGCAACGCCAGCCAAACTAAGAACGAGGCAACTAGCTCAGCTGCATGTCACTACAAACCCACCCACCCATTAAGAGCTGAGAAAACCAGGCACAAGCCCAGAACAAATCGGAGCACAGCTCCCCCCCGCCCCGCCATCACACTGCACATCCCGACAACTAACTTCATATACTTCAGTCTCCAGAGGAGTCCAACAACTGGCCGATAGAGAAATGGGGGAGCACGAATCTGAGGCCAACGAAGCAAACCAGGGACACAAACTAGTCCCTCCAAGCTGACTAGGAAATGCCTCCCCAGGACTCCAAAGCAGAAACCAAACACCCAGCAGCCATCCACAGACCCTGCACAGAAAAAAACAATGCATCAAGATGCATCGACAATTGCTCTACAATTTGTTGAATGCATGTCATGGTTTGTGAAGTGCTGTATGGTGGAGTAAAGATAAGGTGCGTGGTAACTAAGGTGCAGTTAAAATTGGAGGGTAGCTGCGACACGGGCACCCCACAACTGTCAGATAGTGGAACCTCCCAACGTGTCCCTCTCACCCCCCAAGCTCTGTGTCTATTGTGTAATTAAAGTTTAGGGGCGGCCAGTGGGGGAGGAAGAAGGGCGAGGCAGCAATAAAACAGCCCCACTCACCAAACGCCCTGCAGCCTGCCTGCCCCCCAGAGTCCTAAGGGTGTATATAGTGAAACGTGACCGAAGGGGGGAGGCTAGAATGGTCCTCCTGACTGGAGCCAGGTTCCTGACTGAGACTGTCCTGTCCTAACATGTTGTAGTTGGTTTGGCATCATTTTGAGCCGTTTATTGCAATTAAATCACAGCAAAATGTTTGGTTTGGTTTCATGACTGTATTTCTTGAGGAAGCTTAAGAAGGCCAAATTTTACAGAGGAGCAATAGAAAGCATCCTGACTGGAAACATCACTACCGTGGGATGTGCATGGTCCAGGGCTCTGCAGCTGGTGAAGATCATTGGTACCCATCTCCCGAGCATCAGTGATATCAGTGAGGTGAACTGCCATAATGTACTGTATATTATCTGCTATGTAGCAGAAGGGAGTTACAAAACTCAATTTCACTCTACAACTTGTTATATTGTGACAATAAACCTAAAATCCGTTATGGCAGAAAATTGTGTCCTCTTACATTTAATCTTTTATGTATGTTCTTTTACTATTATTATTATTATTATTATTATTATTATGTACAGTGGGGCCAAAAAGTATTTAGTCAGCCACTGATTGTGCAAGTTCTCCTACTTAGAAATATGAGAGAGGTCTGTAATTTTCATCATAGGTACACTTCAACTATGAGAGACAAAATGAGAAAGAAAAAAATCCAGGAAATCACATTGTAGGGTTTTTAAAGAATTTATTTGTAAATTATGGTGGAAAATAAGTATTTGGTCACCCACAAACAAGCAAGATTACTGGCTCTCACAGACCTGTAACTTATTCTTTAAGATCGAAGATCCAATCGTTACCTGGATTAATGGCACCTGTTTGAACTCGTTATCTGTATAAAAGACACCTGTCAGAATCCAAACTCAACCATGACCAAGACGAAAGATCTGTCGAAGGACACCAGGAAGAAAATTGTAGACCTGCACCAGGCTGGGAAGAGTGAATCTACAATAGGCAAGCAGGTTGGTGTGAAGAAATCAACTGTGGGAGCAATTGTAAGAAAATGGAAGACATACAAGACCTTTGATAATCTCCCTCAATCTGGGGCACCACAAAATGATCATGAGAACTATGAGCAAAAATCCCAGAACTACACGGAGGGACCTGATGAATGACCTGCAGAGAGCTGGGACTAAAGTAACAAAGGCTACCATCAGTAACACACTACGCCGAGAGGGACTCCTGCAGTGCCAGGTGTGTCCCCCTGCTTAAGCCAGTACATGTCCAGGCCCGTCTGAAGTTTGCCAGAGAGCGTATGGATGATCCAGAAGAGGATTGGGAGAATATCATGTGGTCAGATGAAACCAAAATAGAACTTTTTGGTAAAAACTCAACTTGTCATGTTTGGAGGAAGAAGAATGCAGAGTTGCATCCCAAGAACACCATACCTACTGTGAAGCATGGGGGAGGAAACATCATGCTTTGGGGCTGTTTTTCTGCAAAGGGGACAGGAAAACTGATCTGTGTTAAGGGAAGAATGAACGGGGCCAAGTATCGTGAGATTTTAAGCCGAAACCTCATTCCATCAGTGAGAGCCTTGAAGATGGAACGTGGCTGGGTCTTCCAGCATGACAATGATCCCAATCACACACCTCGGGCAACGAAGGACTGGCTCCGTAAAAAGCATTAAGGTCCTGGAGTGGCCTAGCCAGTTTCCAGACCTGAACCCAATAGAAAATTTGTGGAGGGAGTTGGAAGTCCGTGTTGCCCAGCGACAACCCCAAAACATCACTGCTCTAGAGATCTGCATGGAGGAATGGGCCAAAATACCAGCTACAGTTTGTGCAAACCTGGTGAAGACTTACTGGAAATGTTTGACCTCTGTCATTGCCAACAAAGGTTATGTTACAAAGTATTGAGTTGAACTTATTGACCAAATACTTGTTTTCCACCATAATTTACAAATAAATTCTTTAAAAATCCTACAATGTGATTTCCTGGATTGTGTGGGTTTCTTTTTTTTTTCCCCTTTCCTCATTTTGTCTCTCATAGTTGAAGTTTACCTATGACGAAAATTACAGACCTCATCTTTCTAAGTAGGAGAACTTGCACAATCAGTGGCTGACTAAATGCTTTTTGGCCCCACGGTATTGTGTTTTATCCATAACCTTTCCTCTCCTATACTCCTTATGTTAGTCTGTCCACATTTACTAGGGTTTAGGGCAGAACTGTGAGATTGTTTTTGGTGTTTTCCTCTCCTGGAATGTTCATTCAAGGCTGAGAGAGGATCTCTGTTCCCCAAAACATAGAAACCTAGACTGTGTAAATAATGATGCATCCCTTTGCTCGGGGCCAGACGTTAATGACTGTCTTAGGAGACAGAACCTCTGGTCCAGCTGATTTGTATTGTCTGTTTATTCTCTTTTGTTAAAGAAATTCTTCAAAGACAACGGTTTGTAACTCAATTATTTGCTCAGCCCCTCACCAGGAATATAATTTCCACGACATTATCTACCTATACTGCTGTAGTAATCGCGGCTTGGGTTTATTCGCATTATTGCATTGTTTTTGAACACCCGGCAGTAGTGCAGCGGCCAAACTCACAGGAGAAAAGCAACGCCAAGATTGAATTTGCATTTGGTCTGAATGCACAATTATTAAAAAATGCACAAAAATCCTCTAGCTGTGGCCTTGTTGACAATGTGATGTGCATCTTGCCTGCTCTCCTGCCATTCCTGAGCACAGGCCACCTTGACAGCATCCTCCATGTTGTTGACTCTCTTAAGGGCATTAATGGCGCTGAATTCGATGCCGTAGCCATCTGTGTGTTGGATGCGGAGGACGTTGTCCCCAAACAGCATCTCTGGAAGGGAGGGCATGTTCATCTCCTCTGCTAACCTGGAAAACAAATCCCAAAAAGCTGGTTACTGGGAACACTTCAGTTCTTATTTACTGATGTAGCTCTACTTATTCATTGCAGAGTCTCATTAATGGAGCTGGGAAAATTTGTATCAAATAGGTTTTCTCCATGCTCAGAAGTTAAATGTTAAGTATTACAGACAGTTTTATATTACAGAGTACAATCTAGACCTGCTCTATGAAAAGTGGAATGAAATAACTTCTGTTATGAATAGCAGTTATATAACTTAAGCTGAATTAATACTTTTGCCTATTAAACTCTTGATTTTTCCATAAAATTCCAGTTATTTTCTAGACTATGTAAGGACATCACATGTACAGAATATTCTCTGTGTGCTCCATTGAACAGACTGTATATCATTATGCTTACAGTGTGTAAATTATATAAACACAAGCACACACCAAATGTCCTCAGGACCCAGGACTCTGGCTCAGTCATGGCTCCATCGCAGTATCAGTGTCTGCTGGCAACGTTTCAGCAGAGTTTCTGATGTTCAGCAGACACTTTTTATTGTGTTTTACAAGCAAAAATCTATGTTTGCCACTAATTTAGATGGAGGTGCCAGATGCTTGTGGCTGTGTAATTACTACCTCACACCCTGAGGAGGCCACAATGGACAACAATTTAGGTTTGAAAAGGACTGTGGAATACTACGAATGCCGGAAAGTTCAGAGTGTAATCAGCAAAGTACAAGGTAAAAAGTTCAAAGCACCTTTGAACTTCAATTACATGCTGTATCTCAGCTATATGGGCCCATCAGCTATGTTGTTGTTTTTAGTTATGTGTAGGCTTTATTGGGGGTCAGAATTGATTTTGAGATAACAACGGGGAATGAGTCGGTTCCAGTGTTGGAGTTCAAGTCAATCAAATTGTGCCTCCCCTTAGCTTTACCTGAGCGTCCTTAAGCCTGACCCCGACTTGTCATCTTAAACCATGCTTAATGTTGATTTTAGTAATTAGTCAAAGATAGAAGACAAATACAAGAGGAACATCTCACCGTTCAATGTCTTTGGATTTCATGATGTGGTTCTTGGCAGCAGTCACTTTCCATGGTCCAAAGGTGAAGTCCTGCTTACTGCTCTTGAAACCATGTGACATCATTGTGGACAGAGAGGCCAACATCAACTGTAGGAGAGATAATCAGCAGACTTTTCAAAACAGACTGGACTGACCCTGAAATGAGGGCATCTGGATGTGTGTGCAGTTAATTAGGAGTTTCCAAAAGGTACAGCCAGATTTGACATTCACACTTAAATATAAATGGATGCCTGTCAGTGTTTCTTATGTTGTGTTGTATTACAAAACAACTCTTGTTAGTGGATGTTATGTTGTTCTGGTTATTCCTAAATGTCTGTTTGACTTTGAGAATATAAAGGCCTTTCTGCCGTTACTGTTGGCCACTTCTCAGCTGTTGTAAGGAAACAGTGAGCTGGATGGGGTGGAGGTCAGAGCTCTGTGCAGGCCAGTCAAGATCCTCCACACCTCAATGGAGCTGGCTGTGTGCACAGGGTGCTGTCATGTTGGAACAGAAACGGGCCTTCCTTGATGTTAACATTTCTTATTTACATCAGCATGTTGGAAATTTTCCAAGATGTGTATGGGCGGGGCCTAAAAGCAGGTCTACTAACACCACATTGATTCCAAGTACTAGTGTTAAGGAAATCGAGGCTGAGGAGAAAACAGACAAACATACAAACTAAAAAATATAACTGTCAGTTAAATTAAAAAGTGCCACCTGACTGTGACCACACACACACACTCACACACACCTTCACATTTAGACTCTGAACTTGTTGGGGGGCATCTGTCTCCCAAATCTGCATCTTAATGAATGAACACACCCCTCATGTTGTTGATTTGCACTAATGCAAAAATTAATCGTTGCACGTTCAATTTTAATTTTATTTACTCGGTCCAATCAGTGCATCACGTATTTCTGAATAATATTAGCATTAGCTGGTTAACTTCGTTTAGCCCAGCACAGATGAATAATTTATGTATTCAAACTTTTGGACGAATTCGGGTGCTAGCTAACGTTAACGTTACTCCCATGCTGGAATACTGGATTACAGGACACTTGCTTCGTTGGTAACGTTACATAAATAACTAACTTATCAAAAGCACGTCCAGGTGGATCTCTAGCTTCTGAAAGGAACGAACACCAAAGACAGCCCAACTGTGTAATACATTGTACACTAATAATAGAACAAAAAAAGCCTTACCTTGGTGTTGTTGTCAACTGCTACCTGTCATGGAGACGACGTGAGAGCGCCGGTAAAAACCGTCCGGTTATGTTTGCTGGGCTCAAGCTGGGGTTCCTTTGTTAACGTTCCTCCTGTCAGCTTCCTTCTTCTTCATATGGATTTACGTCAGTTTAGACGCTTCTAGGAGTATTACTGCCCTCCTCAGGAAGCCACTATAATGATAATGTTATTGCTTCAATAATTTATGTTAAGCCCTGTATCGTGTAACAACCATAGACTGTATATAAGAAAGATAAGGTAAGAACTGTAATACTACTTTGACAATCAAGTGGTGGTTCTCATTTTGACCCAATATATATTTAAGTGAGTATGACCGAACTCCCAAATCTGATAATCTCTTGAACAGAATGCTCCTTTCTATATTATATTTGTTACATTTCAGTAAAACATGTTCCACTGTTTCAGAATTCCCACACTCACAAAGCCCATTAGGATGCTTTCCAGTAACATATAAGCACCAATTTAACCCACAATGCCCAGGTCTCATCCTACAGATTTCAACAGAATCTCTTCTGGATTCTCTCCAATTCTGGATAAGCTTGAGGAAGCAATTGATAAATCGAGGCAACTGCTCGTATTCCTACCTGTCAGCTTCCTGGTTGACATCCGCAACCATAAGGCCTTTCCAAAACTAGACCCTCCCCACTTTTTTATTTTATTTTTTATTAACAAGATAACATACAAAATTCTCATAGGGGAAGAAAAAACATAAATCTATTGGTACAAAACAATCATTGTTTGTGCAAATGAAAGACAGTCTTACAAACACAGAAAATAAATAAATAAGAAGTAAAGAAAATGGGGGTGCTAGTTAGGCAAAAAGGCTATAGAAGACAAAATAAAGCCTCATTTAGGCGCAGCATACCAGGGGAAATTTATCAAAACAATAATTGCCTGGATATATCTCTACACATCTGTCTGCAATTTCACTAGATTTTACTTTTTCCAGTGATTAAAAGTACAACTTAAAGGCGTAGAAGATTTCCGCTTACTACAATGGATGTGATATTTACCCATGAGAACAATCATATTCACTAGATCAGATGAGAATGGATCTACATTGTCTTTATAAAAGAAGATGTGTGACAAGTTAAAAAAACTTGATATTATCAATCTTAAGTGACAATCATGTAGACTGGACCAAAAGTTTTTGGACACAAGTCTTACAATTATTATTAATTGCCTTACAAAATATACAGGGATCTACTTCAAATTTTAACCTTCTTTTAAGGAAGTCAGCAAGTGGATAGGTCTTATAAATTATTTTGAAATGAGTTTCTTTGATTTTGTGGGAGATGCGCCATTTGATGAATTTGAAATGTAGTTTATCTATGGATAAGGTATCCATACTTGGAACCTGTACACACAACCTTCTGTCATAATCAAACAAAAAAGCTTAGATTTAAAAATAAATAAATAAATAAAATACTAGTATATTTGATATTACACTTGTTATCATCTATGTTACATTCATTAATTACAAGATTAGATAAGGTTGGTATAGGTCTTATTCTTGCATACAGTAATGTGTTTTGGATTAGCTGTAGTAATGGTAGTGGTATTGCTTTAAATGTAAATGCTCTGTATTTGTATAGCGCCTTTCTAGTGTTCTACACTACATCTGCATTCACCAGTCAGGGGGGAGCCAGGGATTGAACCGCCAACCTTCCGATTAACGGCCAACTCGCTCTACCTCCTGAACCACAGCCACATACCTTATTGTATCCTCTCTGAGTGCAGTTTAGATTATATTTGTGCAGGAAAGCAGTATGTTCTAAAAAATTACCATGATCATCTTATATAACATTCACAAACAAAATGCCCTTCTCATACCAATCGATCTTAAATAGTGATTTCCTATTAACTGTAATGACCCTGGATCCATGGGGAGAAAAGTTGTGGGTAAATATAATTTTCCAATATTGAAGAAGGAATCTTGGCCACCTCAAAACCACACTGTAAAAAAAAAAAATCAAGCCCGCCTATTTTCTTAAATAGAGATCTGTATGTGAAACCACGTAGAGTCAGTTCATGATAAATATGTTTACAACCAGTTAATCTTAAGGGTCCCAAACACTGCTTCAAAGTCCAAGGCTTTAATACCACCTTTTTTATACTCTTTGACAAGCTGAGCTTTTCCAGTATAATGGGTTTTATTTTTCCAAAGGAATGGAAAATAATTGAGTTTGGTTATAGGGAGTGACATGGGTAAATTACTTTAGAAATGCCTACTGTTTTAGATAGGGTAACTCTACCAAAGATAGTGAGGTCTCTGGTTAGCTAGCGACTTAGTGCTTCTTTCATATCGATTAAACGATAAGAAAAATTGATATCTGCCCTCCAGATAGCATTTTTAGATAAATTAAATAAAGATAAATATTTTACTTCAGTTTTAACCTTAATCAAAGCAGTACTAGAATCTTCAGATGAATGAATGGGAAGTAGCTCACATTTTTGAATATTAAGGGACAATCCTGAAGCTTTAGAGAATATTGAGACCGTACTGAGGGCAATATCCACCATAAATTTATTCCTTAAAAGGATTGCTGTGTCATCCGCAAAATGATAAATTTTAAAATCATGCAGAGCGGGATTGTTTATTATTTATTTATGAGCATGATAAATAATTGGGTGTCTAAAATAAATAATTTTGCAAAAATCGGGCATCCTTGTCTAATGCCACGAAGTACATCAAATCTAGGCATTATGCATAGAAGACATAGACTTGGACTATATATGCTATTATATAACATCTTAATAATTTTACACAAGTTGTTTCCAAAACCTAAAAAATGTAGTACTTCAAATAAAAAGGCATGTTCGATAGTGTTGAATGCCGTATAAAAGTCAAGAAATAAAACAAAGGCATCAGTATCAATAAGGTCTCGATAATCAAGCATGTCTAGTAACCTGGAGTGGTTATGTATATTTCGACTCCTTATGAAAGCTGATTGACACTCATCAATTATATGTGATAATCCCTCATTCAGACGATTAGCATAGACAAGTGCCAGCAGTTAATAATTATTACATAATAAGGTAATTGGTCTCCAATTGTCCAGTAAAAGGTTTTATTAGGCTTGGGAATTAGAGTGATGAGACCATGTTTCATAGTAGGAGAAAGACTTCCATTTGATACGCAATTTAAGTCATTGTGGAGCAGTTCACTGATATCGTTCCAGAAGAAAGTGAAAAATTCTATGGTTATCTCATCTATTCCAGGTGACTTACCTTTAGACATCTTTTGAACTGCTATATCTAACTCCTCAATTCTTAGTTCATCTTCCATAAGTTGTTTAAAGTTGTCATCCATTTTATTTTTGAAACCCCGGATTTCTTCTAATAAAAACTCTAATAATCTTCCGTAGAAAAATTGGATTTATAGAGATTACTGTAAAAGGCTTTGGTTTTCTCATCTGCTTCGTCTTGATTTTCAATAATAATGTCATTGATACTAAGTTTCTGAATGTTATTTTTTGTCTGTCTTTGTTTTTCCAAACTAAAGAAATAAGAAGATTTCCTCCCCCTTCTTTCATCCAGTGAGCCCTTGAACGAATCAATGCCCTCTTGGCTTTCTCTATATATATAGTGTCAAGTTGGGACTGAAGGTGGTTTAGTTCTATATATTCTTCCACTGATAGATCAGCTTTACAACACAGCTTGTTAATTTTACTAATTATGTCTCTGTTATCTTTTTGAGTTTAGATGATTGCTTACTTGTCTTAATTGCTTTGTTTAACTTAAAATTTGAGCCATTCCAATTTGCTCTCAAAAGACATATCCAGTTCATTTACTTCCTTAATCAGTTGTTTGACCTCCTTACAAAACTGTATCTTCCAATACATTTCCATATGGGATTTATATTAGTCTTGTTCCCACCCAGAGAGAGGGTTAAAGATATTATACAGAGATCCGTCAAGGGTGATGCAGAGATTTCACATCTATTCATTAACCAATTTGTAGCACTGGCCATTGTTGGATGCATTGATCCAGGTAAATTGTTTTTTATTTGTGTTTTTCATTCTCCAATAGTCAATCAGATTAGCCTTTGTAATCAGTTCAATTATTGTTTCATCAAATGTGTGGTATTGTCTCCTCAATGGTAGCCGGTCCAACCAAATATCAGGGGCCAGGTTCAAATCCCCCCCAAAAAATCATAACTCCCCACTGCACTTTCCAACATTTAGTGTCTGCCTCGCCTGAATGAGTTTCTTGCAAAAAAAACACAATTACCCTCGCCACTTTCACTCTGTCACTGAGTGAACTCTAGTTGGAGTCACCCTCACTGCCAAATCGAGCTCTCTAACCCGCGTAGGGTATTGTCAAATAAACTGAGATCCCAGTGGACTTCAAGAGATTGAGCTACAGAGGATAACCACGGCCAAACCATCTGAAGAATCATTGCACTCTGAAGCTTCTCTTGTTCAACTGCAACATGGACTGAAGACTGTTAAGAGACCATTTGAGGGCTTTCGACAAAGCCTCAAGTTGCTACTAGATTCTACAGCTCAGCAGGAAGGAAGGATTTCATTGCAGGACAACTCCTTCCTCTCCCTTTCTCTCCAAAAAGAAGACATCTAAATCACTCAAGCTCAGTTATTATAATCAGGTTTTCAATTCAATAGCGCCAAATCACAACAACAGTTATCTCCCAGCACTTTTCATAAAAGAGCAGGTCTAGACCATACTCTGTGATGATATTTACAGAAGCCCAACAACAACAACAAGAGCAAGCACTAGGCGACAGAGGCAAGGAAAAACTTCCTTTTAAGAGGCAGAAACCTCGAGCAGAACCATGGCTCAGGGTGGGCGGCCATCTGCCTCGACCGGTTGGAGTGAAGGAGAGAGAGAGAGGGAGGGCGAGAGAGAGGGAGAGAGAGAGCGAGAGAGAGGGAGAGAGAGGGCGAGAGAGAGGGAGGGCGAGAGAGAGGGAGGGCAAAGGAGGAACAGAGAGAAAGAGAGAGAGGGATGGAAGGAGGGAGGCAGCCTATAGACTGAATGAAAAATGGTATAGATATTTATAGTAGTGTTAATGATTATAATAACAATAATAGGACTAGTAACAACAATAATAATAATAATTGTAACGGTGGGAGACAGAACGGACCCAAACGCAACGCTGAGGGTTAGAAATAGAGGTTTATTGAGGAGAAGGGGGTTTGAGGCGAGGGCGGGTGGAAGGAGGGGGAGAGGCTGACGAGGACACGGGGAACCGAGAAGCTGGAGGAACGGAGGGCACTTAGGCTGGAGGCTTGAGGGAGGCTGGCAGACGGATAGGAGAGGGCGCGGAGACTGGGGTTCCAGGCGGGGTGCGAGAGGGGAAGCCGGAGGGCGTCGTGGAGGCGGCGAGAGGAGGAGGCAGGCGAGCGAGCCCGGCTGGCCGAGCTGGGAGGTAGAGGAGAGTGAACCTGGCAGGGGGAAACAGAGAGACAGGGTTAGTAGGCAATGGGGACGTGAAGCAAGAGGGAATTTTAGAAAGAGCCAGAACGAAGCGGCGACACCAGGTCTGGAGCTGCGACGATCGAGCGAGGATGGTGTGGAAAGCCGGGGTAGATATACTGGTTGTGATGAGGCTGATGGCTGGCAGGTGCGGCGGCTGGGGATGGAGGTTAACGAGGTGCAGGTGTGGGTAGCCATCCGGGCTCCGGAGCGAGAGGGCACAGGAGAAACCAGAATGTGAGGGAAAGGAGAAACAGGACACTCACCAACAGCCGGGCTGCCACCGCGACAAATAATAATCCTTATTTGTAGAGCACTTTTCAAAAACAAGTTACAAAGTGCTTTAACAAGTGTAAAGAATAATACAAAAAAACAAGATAAGAGCATGACAACATTGAAAAGACTAAAATACAGATTAATATAAAATTAGTAAAATACAATAAAATAAAAGGGATAAAATAAAGTCAAATAAGATCGGGAAAAGCTCTCCTATAAAAGTATGTTTTAAGAAGGGACTTAAAAGAGTTCACTGACTCAGCCGACCTGATTTCCTCGGGCAGGCTGTTCCAGAGCCTCGGGGCCCTGACAGCAAACGCTCTGTCCCCTTTAGTTTTCAGTCGAGACTCTGGAACAGACAGCAGACCTCTGCCCGAGGATCTCAAGGTACGTGCTGGTGCGTATGGGACTAAAAGGTCAGAAATATAACGAGGCGAGAGGCCATGAAGAGCTTTAAAAGTAATCAACAGAATTTTAAAGTCAATTCTAAAACATACTGCTTTGTGGTGTGCTGCTCGAAATTTAAATTACTATCAAACCAAACACCAAGGTTCTTTGCCACAGGCTTAATGTGATTTACTAGGGAACCAGCAGATGGCAGTATTTGATTTGCCATCTGCTGAAACCCGATGACCGGGATTTCTGTTTTGTCTGAGTTCAGCTGGAGGAAATTATTTGACATCCATTTTTTAACTTCACAAAGGCAGTTGTTAAGTGAACTCAGCATTCCAGGGTCTGTGGATCTGACGGGCAAGTATTTTTGTGTGTCATCAGCATTAATATGAAAAGAAATGCCATGTTTATGGATAATATGTCCAAGGGGAAGCAGATACAAGGAAAACAAAATGGGTCCTAAGACCGACCCCTGAGGCACACCATATTTAACTGGACAGAATGAGGAGACATAGTTGTTTACAGACACACAAAACTTCCTATTTGACAGGTAGGATGAAAACCATTCTAGAGCAGTACCAGAGATCCCCACCCAGTGCCTCAGTCTGTCTAACATGATGTTGTGATCAATGGTGTCAAAAGCAGCGCTAAGGTCCAGGAGTACAAGGACTGAGCACATGCCTTCATCAGCAGACATTAAAAGGTCATTGGTGACTTTAAGCAGGGCAGTCTCAGTGCTGTGGTACTGAAACTTTTCAAATAATTTGTTATTTTCCAGCACAGTGAGCAGCTGTTTGGACACAATTCTTTCTAGAATCTTTGCAATAAAAGGCAGTTTTGAAATTGGTCTAAAATTATGTGGGAGGGAGGGATCTAAACCAGGTTTCTTTAAAAGTGGGTTCACGCAAGCCGTTTTAAAATAATCAGGGACACAACCAGTAGATAGGGAGCTGTTGAAAACAGAGATCAAATGGGGCCCAACAGAATCTATTACTTTCAGTAAAAACTTTGTAGGTATTACATCAAGTGGGCTGGAGGACACTCTCATTTGTGATACTGTTTTTAAAAGCTCAGACAAGTCGATGGGATAAAACTGGTTAAAACTCTCTTGTTGCTGGTGAGGAACCTCTGAGTAAGAGGCCGCGGGGGTAATAGAGGCTCTGATTGACACCACCTTATTGGTAAAATAAGATAAAAACAATTCACAGTCATCATTACTTCCAGCTGAGGCACAAGGAGGGGTTGGGTTTACCAGCTGATCCACAGTCTTAAACAGAAACCTGGGATTGTGTTTATGTGTAGTAATGAGTTCAGAAAAATAGTGTGTTCTTGCATCCTTAACCATGTTATTGTAGTTAATTAATAGATCCTTCAGACTGAGGTAATGGACTTGGAGACTGGATTTTTTCCATCTGCGCTCTGCTTTCCTGCATTCCCTTTTGAGGCTGCGAATGCTGTCATTTATCCAGGGTTGCTTACTAGCTTTAGACGTAGACCTAACCTTTAGAGGAGCAGTATTTTTTAGTGATGACAAGCAGATATGATTGAAGTGATTGACCAGATTGTTGGTGTTGGAATCAGACAGGTGTTGTAGCAGAAGGTGTCGAGCAGGAACACGGGGGCAGCAGGTGACCCACAACCACAGATCCAGACTCCACAGCTCCAGAGCCAGAAACACCTGCGGGAAGTGATAGGAGGAGAGAGGAGAGGGACGAGAAAGCACAAGACTACCAGAAAGGGGAGAAGTTGAGTTAGTAACATGCAATAATGGGATGAGGTTGCATACAGAGGGAGAGAAAGTAGAGGAGAGAAGAGCTCAGTGCATCATGGGAAATCCCCCGGCAGTCTAGGCCTATAGCAGCATAACTAAGGGATGGTTCAAGAGTCACCTGAGCCAGTCCTAACTATATGCTTTATCAAAGAGGAAAGTCTTAAGCCTACTCTTAAATGTGGAGATGGTGTCTGCCTCCTGAACCCAAACTGGAACCTGGTTCCACAGGAGAGGAGCTTGATAGCTGAACGCTCTGGCTCCTAGTCTACTTCTGGAGACTCTAGAAACCACAAGTAACCCTACATTCTGGGAGCGCAGTGCTCTGGTGGGGTAGTAAGGTACTATGAGCACTTTAAGATAAGATGGTGCCTGACCATTAAGAGCTTTGTAGGTAAGAAGAATGATTTTAAATTCTATTCTGGATTTTACTGGAAGCCAATGCAAAGAAGCTAAGAGGAGAAATGTGATCTCTTTTCCTGGTTCCTGTCAGAACACGTGCTGCAACATTCTGGATCAGCTGAAGAGTCTTAATGGACTTTTTCGAGCAGCCTGATAATAAAGAATTGCAGTAATACAGCCTAGAAGTAACAAATGCATGGACTAGTTTTTCTGCATAATTTTTTGACAGAATATTCCTGATTTTCGCAATATTACGTAGGTGAAAAAAGGCGGTCCTTGAAATTTGCTTAATGTGAGACTTAAACGACATGTCCTGATCAAAGATAACTCCAAGATTCCTCACAGTGTTGCTGGAGGCCAGGGCGATGCCATCAAACTATATCTTTAGATAATTCGTCATGGAGGTGCTTAGGCACCAGAACAATAACTTCAGTTTTATCTGAGTTTAACATTAGAAAATTACAGGTCATCCAGGTTTTAACGTCCTGAAGGCACATTTGAACTTTAGCTAACTGATGAGTTTCATCTGGCTTGATCAATAGATATAACTGAGTACCATCTGCATAACAATGAAAGTTTATGGAATATTTCCTGATAATATTGCCTAAAGGAAGCATATATAAAGTGAAGAGGATTGGTCCGAAGACAGATCCTTGAGGAACTCCATGACTAACTTTGGCGTGCATGGAGGACTCATCGTTAACATGTACAAACTGAAATCGATCTGATAAATAGGACTTAAACCAGCTTAGAGTGGTTCCTTTAATGCAAATGAAATGTTCCTGTCTCTGCAATAGGACCAGATGGTCAGTGGTATCAAATGCAGCACTAAGATCTAATAAAACCAGTACAGAGACAAGTCCTTTGTCTGATGCAATAAGGAGGTCGTTAGTAATTTTCACAGAGGCAGGTTGATGGTTTAGATGAAGAAATTATTGAAGTTAGTTGGTAAAGATTGAGGGAAGCAGCCAAAAGAGCCAAAGAGGCCAAAAGACAACAACCTAAATTTGACATATGTAATTACCTACTATAAGATCCTGACCAAGGGCCCAGGAGGAGACATACTAGAAAAGCAGCCAGCTAATGAGCAATGGAAGACTGAAGGGGTGGTGACAGTAACGGCTAAATGTAGTTCAGATAATTGCACAGATGAGTTGACTTGAATAACTGTAGATAAAAACTCTAAACCTATAAACTAATTAAGTCGACAACACATTAACAGCGAAGGGGACAACCATACAGCCGAACTAAAGTAGCTGAAAAACCAGGACCCATCATACAGCAATCTAGAGCAGTACGGAGAACAAGATCCGGTGTATAACGAACCAAAATAACCTGGAAAGTTGGGCCCATTTTGCAGGGAGAGAATATGTTCCAACAATGATTTCAATACTCTGCCCACCAAGTGAGCTCACAGTCCTGTATAGCGTGTTACAATGGCAGAAGAATTGCCTAAACCATAAGTTTTGAAGCGTGCAAACACCAAAATGACTGCTTCGCTTACTACATGTTGAGGATGATGGCAACAAAGCGAGATGGGTGGTCACACAATAGAACTAACTGTCCATCCCCTTATTGGAGCATTGGATACCACCGACAGCAGTCAGGAATGAGAGCACAGTATTCCCATTTTGTATAACAGACTCTGGCACACTGATGACAAAGAGGGATGCAAGAATACAGTGTCGTTATCAGGTGTGGAGGGGTAGTAAACATGCAAAGGTGCAACACTTCAGCTAAAGCAAAATTCCATTGCCGACAAGTGGTGACCCATTTTATGCCATATTTTGCAGGACGAAATCAAAATCAAAGTGATATTCCTATATTGTTTCTTATGCAAGGCACATATCCTATGGCTGACATCTTCTGGTTCTGTCAGGACGAAGATCTGTTGAAAATAGAGTTGCCGCCAGTTTGGAAAGGAATATGCACCCCAGTAATGGTAACAGGACAAATAACAGTGCTTAGCCAGAATGACATAGTGAGTAGAAAATGCAACGCTAGGAGCCTTACATTTTATATGGAAGATAAAGTTTATATAACACGGAATCAGGAACCCCATGGAGTGCCATCAGAACATCGAGCAATAGGAGAAGATTGGATTATATCAGGACAATTAGCAGGGTCAGTCCCATTGGTAAGGCAATAATTGCACAGTACATAGCACGTAACAGCCGTTGGATTTCATACTTGTGGTGGAACAAACAGAGATGTTTATAGGACAATACTAGCCGTAGAAACCACCTGCGAACAGCTGCACTCGACATCGTTAATGGCAATAGAAAATAGGTTTGTGTTAGATACTATGCTAGCAGAAGAACAGGGAATATGTAAATATTTTGGAGAAGAGTGCTGTACGGTAATATCAATGTACACAGAACAGGAAGGAAACCTCACCATGCTCCTAGAATCATTAAAAACCATGAGAGAAAAGCAAGTGAGGAACTCAAATTGGAACACAAAATTAACATCCATAGAGGAATGGTTCCAAAACATGTCCTGGACAAAGATCTTCCAAACAATAGGAATGGCAACTGATGCACTGATATTAGTAGCACATGGTGATCATGTGTTGTGTATCTCCCCTCATCAGGATTATGGTAGGAAGAATGATTAAAATGTTTACTGGACAATAACCTCTCCACATCTATAATGACGTAGAAGTAGGGATAGAAATGATTCCCATAAACGAGGAAATGAAAATGTCATCAGTGTATGAAAATCAGGTTGTTCCATCCGCCCCATCTAAGCTCTCGCTAAACGACAATGAGTATATAAATATGGACCAGGAGAATTGGCATTTCAAAGAATAGATAAACAAAATGACTGAGGAACAACAGCCAAAACTAAGTGGGAATAAACCAGTTAAAAGAAATAGAGCAAAAGCCCAACAGTACAAGAAGAAATTGCAACCAATTTTAGATGCTCCGTACTTGTATAGCGCCTTTCTAGTCTTTTCGACCACTCAAAGCGCTTTTACACTACATCTGCATTCACCAGTCACACACATTCATACACTGAGCCTAAGTGCTCAAACGGAAACTAACATTCACACACATTCATACACTGGCGGAATAGCCGCCAGGGGCAAATTGGGGTTCAGTATCTTGCCCAAGGACACTTCGACACGCAACCAGGGGGAGCCAGAGATTGAACCACCGACCTTCCGATTAACGGCCAACCCGCTCTACCTCCTGAGCCACAGCCGCCCCTTTAGATCAACTACCATATGGACCAATAACACTCCACAATCTAAAACAGCATTACAGTACTACTACCGGTCAGTTCAGTCAAAAGATTATCCCTTACTGCCTCCACCACTGGTTACAGGACCAATAACAACGTACCCAGGAACCTTGATAGACCATCAACCTCCAGAGAAGGAATATGGGTGCCTCCATCCAAACCCAACTAATGTAATAATTCTGCTAATTTTGTGGAAGGTGTTAACACAGTTGACAGAAGAAAATGCAGTTAAGGAAGCTGCAGAAAGGGCAGTTGAGGCCGCAGCTGAACAGGCGATGGAGCAGGCAACTGCACAGGCTGCTGAGATGGTGACAGGTGAGGCAGTCGCAAGGGCCATGGAGCAGCCACCAGAAGATCCACGACCACCTTCCTGGCCTCGCCCACTGTCCGCATCCCCAATATCATTAGCCCCGAGTCTAAGTGATGACCACAAATCAGATTCCTCAGATTCTTATAGTCCAGCAGCAGCCATCCACAACCACCCAATCACCACTGCCATTCACCAGCACACAAACACCACAACCATGTACCAGCAGCACCGCACCGAATCCAACACAACACTAACCACGTTAGGACAGGCGTACAGCCTTGAGATAAGTGCAAACGCGGACTAAATTCTAAGTATACCCCCGCCGACAGATGATCCTGACTACTTGGGTATGCTCACCCTACCTGAATTCTACGCCCTCACAACTGGGAAAAACAGACCTAGAGATTGTCACAATGAAGAAAACCATGTGTCTGGCCCATATTCGAATTGCAACCAAGTACTGGCAGGGGACCAGAAATAACCTCCTGCTTGAGCTGAAGCAGATGCGAGTAGTAATAGTGTCAAACTTATGCATGTATAACTTTTAAAAATACGGTGAGATTGAGTTTGAAACCTAATCGTGAATTTCTAATCCAGAGTGTCAAAAAATATAAAAGGCTATATTGTAACAACGAATTGGGATAAAGAACAGCTAAAACTGAATAACTTCAATAAGACAAAGAGGTGGAGAAAGGGTTAAAATTGTTAAACCCATACATGTAAGAAGCCATTAGATGGCAGCAGAGGATAAGAAAGCCACCATGGAGGAGGGTGCGGTTGGCGAACACGAAGGTGGAGACTAGGAGGAGATTAGGTAGAAAGCCCACCTGAAGGGCGGGGCCTGAGGTGAATATAAGCTAATGTTTGGTGACTGCACATCCAGTTCCATCCTGATGCTTGCTAGGATGTTGCTCGAGTTTTACTGTCCTTTACTGGAATAAAACTCTTTTGCACCGAATCTTGACCGTCTCCAGGGAAGTTTTTGACTATGAGTTCTTACTAATAGAGTATTTTTGACAAAGTTTCTTAAAGTGGTGAGGGTTAGGATCGGGCCTTCAGCTTGCCTAGCATTCCTTCATTATTACTTTGGCGAGCCGAGCCGGGGGAGTTGAGTCCAGAGGCCGAGAGGTTCTGACCGGAGTGGACAACCTGGTCTAATGTGGTCCACATGTGAAAAAAAACACATAAATCGCACTTTATAGTATTTTCACAAAATTTTTGTCTTTTTCTTTTTTCATTTTCACAAATAAAATAAAGTTTTTTCAAATCTAAAAAAAGTGTTTCAGACAGCGTTAAGGCTTTGCCTAAAATGCATAACAGCTTTCACAGCAGTAAGAGGTGCAAAAAACGGAGATTCGGTTTCTTGATATCATTCAACAAATGGAGATCATTTGTTAAACTGTGGAAGTTCATCTTAAAGTATGTCAACAGGGGTTCCAGACCCAAGCACCAAGTTAAAATCTGGACATTCCTGTCCCCCTGTCTGTCATTATTAACAATAGGTGCGTTTGACTTAATGCGGCGCGGCGCAGAGCTGATTTAACGTAATGCATACTGGACTTAAAACAAGGCATGCTTGTTAGAAATTGTGTCCAAGTGTCGCCAGTGCTGCATGCAAAACGTCACCGTGTCACATGACATTAAAACCTCGCGGGAGCAGGGCGTCTGCAGGCACAGAGTCCGGCAACCGCAGTTGCTTTTCCCAGACTACACCAAGTTGGAACCACACTATTGCCTGGTCTCGCGGTATTTGTCTTTGCAAATTCCGTGAGATCAGTCATTGATGTCAGCTCAGGTGCAGGTAGAATGTGTCCGACTTGACGGCGCCATTTTTATACCTTGCCCCTACAGTCACATGCATCAAGTCGGCGAAAGTCAGCCGCCGTTATCTCGAATGCACCTTATTTTTCAGGATTAAGAGAATAGTCCAGTATACCCCCTGCTGGTCATAGCCCTACATTAAAGATAAAGGCTAAAAAATGAGTTCATGTTGTTTTTCAAAGACAGATATTCATTACAATGGTCTGTATCCTAAACCACCACTTAGTGAATACCACTGATGTAACTTTTCCCCAAACAACTGTTAATGTTATTAATGACAGAAATCTAAAGTTTGATGAATAGTGTTAAAGGTAGAATGTCCACTAAGGTTTTTATCAAAAATAGAAGTAGCCTAATTGAACAAAAGCCACCTTTTGTTCCATTAGGCTACTTCTATTTTTCTATTATTCTTTACCTTAGTAAAACCAATTAAAGTCATGAAATGGCAATGCAAATATTTAAATTTTATAGGCTACATAAAAAAGGAAGAAAAGGATAAAGAAATTATATATTTAATGGTGATTGGCCACCCTTAGGCTTAAAGAAATAGCTTAACCCTAGAGCTCAGGAGCCACTGAGAACATAGGGAACTCACCCATTCAAACTGGACAAGTGGCCAAATGTCTCAGAATTGTGTGAAACTGATGTCTGAGATCACAAATCATCACATGTATTGTAATGTCAAAATGATTAATTATTAAAAGAATTAGTCTAAGGTTAACGTAACATTATTTAGACTAGTGTGCTTGTAGTGGCCAATGATGAGAAAAATCTAAATCAAATCAATATTTGGTGTGACCACCCTTTGCCTTCAAACAGCATCAGTTCTTCTAGGTACACTTGCACATAGTTTTTAAAGGAACTTGGCAGGTAGGTTGGCCCCAACATGTTGGAGAACTACCCACAGTCCTTCTGTGGATTTAGGCAGCACCAGCTGCCTCTTTCTTCATATAATCCCCGACAATGGATGATGTTGAGATCAGGACTTTGTGGGGGCCATACCATCACTTCCAGTAATCTTTGTTGTTCTTCAGGCTGAAGATAGTTCTTAATGACTTTTATACTGACTTGTTATTAATTTGTCCTTTTTGAGCTACTGTCTTAACAGCTCTCTGAGACCCCGTTTCGTTCCGTCAACTTCAGGCTGCATATTCCACAAAAAGCATTTCAGAATCAGTGCATTTTGCCTGCTTGATTTTGCAGGCATGGGGTTTACTTTTTGTGCTTCTACTATTGCTTCTACGTAGTTAAATTATTTCTTTCTGTGTCTGTTCTAAATGTGTTTATTGTTGTTTTACGATCGGGAGTCTCCACAGGGTTTTTTACTTTGAAAATTGACCGGATTCTCTATGCCGTGCTGTGTCTGACTTCCTGCCTGGTTCGATCTGCTCTGTGCTACATTTGCACTGCTGGAGCTGTGGCAGCTTAATTCTGAAAAAAACCACAAGGCTAACACAAAAGTCAACAGATGTGGCTTTAATACTTCTATATTTTCATGTAGTGATGTTCTATAGCACAACCAGCAGGCTCTCACTCCAGAGAGCCAGGACAAGATTTAATTTGTCTTCCTGTGTGTGGAGCTGAAGCTGGGTCACAGGCAGCTGCTCTACCTGTTGGAGCTGTCGCAGGGCCTGGAGGTGGGAAAGAGGGAACTGCAGACCCTACAGAGACAAAAGACACATGGCAATTGGGTTTGAACAACCAGGGACATTCTCAACCAAACCTATTTACACATACAAAACTATGCATTGTCAGTACGCTATCTAGGTGCAAGTGCTTCAGGTGTTAGTCTGCTGTGCAGGCATCAGCTGTGCAATGGCCCACACCCCCTCCCATATGCCAGACCCAGCAGTAATTAGTGAAGTAATTTATGACCAATAGACATGCATTTTGTCACATTAGACATTGTGTCAATGCTCAATGCTTTCACCCTGTGTGAGACTCAGCCTTGAGTCCATTGAGTCATATGGTTTCATAAAAAGCTTTTATGGTTTCATAAAAAGTAAAAAAAAGTAAAAAGTAATTTTTTCATAAAAGATAAAACATGACTCAAACAGAAGGAAATTGTGCATTTGCAGGTTACTATTTTCAACTGCGGATGAATCCACATGTGGTGCTCTATCGCATTTGTTTACATCCAAATCTGAGTTATTACAGTTATAATTACATACTAGCCACGTCTGCCGGCAAATATGAAACGATATCGCAGCAGTCCCTGGGGATTTACTGATGGAATAATGTGTTTTGGACTAAATGTTTTTACTGGATTGGATCGTCTGGACCTTTGACAACGTAACAAGACCATTTTTGTTGGAATATAATCTGTCGGTGGATTAAGTTACTATGAGGCTTCAAAGGTGAGTCCCGTCAATTTTGCTTATACTGGGTGGTCTGACAGAGGCGCTGATTGTATCTTGAAATGGTTTGCATTGGTTGAATCACAAGGATTTTAGATTTCAAAGGGTGGATCATATAGCAGTAGTGGGCACATAAGAAGAGCTGTCATCAGGACCTGTTACCACCAGGAATGTGAAGAGGTTTTCACATAAAGTTAACATTACAACAGCACCAAACTGCACCCAAACAACTGGGTGTAACCAGAGACAGTTTAGCTTAAACTTAATGCTAGCTTTCTATGCGTTCGACCAGCCTAAAAGTTCAGTTAGCTAAAAAGCCGCAGTCACGTAACGTACCTTTCTTTAAAGGTTCTGTAGTGACGGATGAAGTTGGATGTTGTGGTCATGGTGTCACTGATTTTTGAGCTGCAGACCTTGCATACCACTGTTCTTTTCTTCCTGCCGTCATCGACAACATAATCCTTGAATGTGTTGTACTACATGTAACGGTCTATTTCCATGCCGCTGTTATGAAGATCCGGACCGCTAACGTTATGTGAAGCACACATGGTTGAAGGATTATGTGCAAATGTTGGAGTGAGTGAATGCAAATATTTATTAAAAACAATCAAGTCATTTTCAAGTCATCTGTCTCAAGTCTAAGTCAAGTCTCAAGTCATGAACACCAAGTCATGTGTATACATACAAAGTATGTCGCAGTCTAACACACTTCTCTATGCCATTCTATTTCAGGAGTTACCTAGTCAAAATCCTATAGTGACGGTGTCCCCCCCCCCGACCACTGAAATTATTTAAATCAAAGGTAAACAGAAGAGGAGCTGTGCATAAAAACCTCATAAAAATTTAAACCACAAGAGCAATAGTGCAAACGAATAGGAGAGTTAAATGTGGACTCTTAAACATCAGATCTCTCTCTTCTAAAGGTGTACTAGTAAATGAACTAATATCAGATTATGATATTGATTTATTTTGTCTTAGTGAAACCTGGCTGGGTGATGGAGAATATGTAACCTAAACTAAACTATAACTCATTTGAAAGCCTTGTTCTTAGTCTTTCGCACCCAAGTTGGAAATCACTACAACCAATTCTTTTTGTTATAGTGTACCAAGTACCTGGTCCATACACTGAATTCTTTTTGCAGACTTTTTGTCAACTTTAGTCCTTAAAACGAACAAAGTTGTTATTGTAGGGGATTTTAATATTCATGTGGACGTTGAGAATGACAGCTTTAGTAATGCGTTTATCTCTGTTAGATTCCATTGGCTTCTCTCAGAGTGTTCATGAACCAACTCACTGTTTTAACCACACCCTTGACCTTGTTTTGGTGTATGGTATTGAAATTGAACATTTAGTGAATGTAAATGTAAATGCTCCGTACTTGTATAGCGCCTTTCTAGTCTTTTCAACCACTCAAAGCGCTTTTACACATCTGCATTCACCAGTCACACACATTCATACACTGAGCCTAAGTGCTCAAACGGAAACTAACATTCACACACATTCATACACTGAGCCTAAGTGCTCAAACGGAAACTAACATTCACACTCATTCATACACTGGCGGAATAGCTGATACTGAAGTCGGGGTTCAGTATCTTGCCCAAGGACACTTCGACACGCAACTAGGGGGAGCCAGGGATTGAACCGCCGACCTTCCGATTAACGGCCAACCCGCTCTACCTCCTGAGCTAAATTTAAGGATGCGATTGCATCAGCTCTAAATTCATTATCTGATCACAAAGTAACGGAGGACTCCTATGCTAATTTCAGTCCCTCCCAAATCGATCATCTTGTTGATAGTGCTGCAGGCTCGCTGCGAATGACACTCGACTCTGTAGCCCCTCTAAAAAAGAAAATAATAAAACAAAGACGGTTAGCTCCATGGTATAATACTGAAACTCACAAATTAAAGCAAATATACAATACAATATAAAATTTAAGAGCTCATAGTACCTTACTACCCCACCAGAGCACTGCGCTCCCAGAATGCAGGGTTACTTGTGGTTCCTAGAGTCTCCAAAAGTAGACTAGGAGCCAGAGCGTTCAGCTATCAAGCTCCTCTCCTGTGGAACCAGGTTCCAGTTTGGGTTCAGGAGGCAGACACCATCTCCACATTTAAGAGTAGGCTTAAGACTTTCCTCTTTGATAAAGCATATAGTTAGGACTGGCTCAGGTTAGTCCTGAACCATCCCTTAGTTATGCTGCTATAGGCCTAGACTGCCGGGGGATTTCCCATGATGCACTGAGCTCCTCTCTCCTCTACTTTCTCTCCCTCTGTATGCAACCTTATCCCATTATTGCATGTTACTAACACAACTTCTCCCCTTTCCGGTAGTCTTGTGCTTTCTCGTCCCTCTCCTCTCTCCTCCTATCACTTCCTGCAGGTGTTTCTGGCTCTGGAGCTGTGGAGTCTGGATCTGTGGCTGCGGGTCACCTGCTGCCCCCGTGTTTCTGCTACACCCTCTGCTACAACAACTATTGTTACTAGTCCTATTATTAGGGCCCGAGCACGACCTTTGCTCGGATTATATATATATATATATATATATATATTTATATATATATATATATTTTTTTTTTTTTCTGCAAAGTAGGCCCAAATGACATGGCCTAAACATACTCGAAAACTCACCAAAATTTGCAAACATGTCAGAGCCGGTAAAAAATTTCGTATTCTACAAGTTTCGCACATGGGCGTGGCAAAATGACTCGCTAGCGCCACCTAGAAAATTGGAAAAGATTAGCCCCTCGTTCACGTTCAACCTACATGTACGAAATTTTCTGGGGACATGTATCGTATCAAGACGCACAAAAAAAAAAGCCTCAAGAACCCATAGCCTAAAGTCAACAGGAAGTCGGCCATTTTGAATTTTACGGCCATTTTTGGATGATTTACACACTTCGTACTTTAACGAACTCCTCCTAGGGATTTAGTCGGATCGACTTCAAATTTCTGCTGTGCCTTCTAAAGGCATTGACGATGAAAAGTTGTGCTATTTGCGAGTTTTCGTCAATGGGCGTGTCCGTGGCGTCAATGATTCGCTATGAAAAAGGAAGTTGTTGTAACTTCAAGGTACATGCTCACATCTGGACCAAACTGTACATCTAGGATGAGAGTCCCGCCCTGAACACATGTACATGCCGACATTCACCCACAGTCATAGTGCCACCTGCTGGCAACAGAAAGTGACCTTTAACGAAGCAGCCCCCGCCGCACGTTTCACCTACGTGCACGAATTTTCTGTGGTACGTGTATCTTGTCCAGACGCACAAAAAAGCCTCTTGGATCGATGCCCTAAAATCAACAGGAAGTAGGCCATTTTGAATTTTACATCAAATTTTGGATGATTTACACACTTCGTACTTTAACGAACTCCTCCTAGGGATTTAGTCCGATCGACTTCAAATTTGTGCTGTGCCTTCTAAAGGCATTGACGATGAAAAGTTGTGCTATTTGCGAGTTTTCGTCAATGGGTGTGTCCGTGGCGTGGCGTCAGAGATCAAGTCTTCGCCATGACACAGGAAGTTGTTGTAACTTCAGTGTACATGCTCACATCTGAACCAAACTTTACGTGCTTGATAACTCAAGGGGTCATCTTCTCTGCTATTGGTGGACCAGTCAGACAGGAGAGCTCCTACTCTTCCTCCAGACATCAACGATCTTGCCCCTCACACAGTCAGATGGCTTCCTTCAGTGCACTGAGGTGTTTAATAACTCTGAAGACAATACTACCAGCAATGTCTTCCTTCTCTTTTCACGTAGACGCTCCGACAGACAGTGCTTTCAGTTTGCTGCATGCATGGACACAGAACTGCGGTATAGAGAGAAGCACACGGTCAGCTGGCTGCAGCTAAATCTGGAGTGCACTCGTATTCAATTCTGTATGGTAAATTCAGTTTTAACGGAGCAGAGCGAGCTGACAGGCAGAGTTAGAGACTTTTTCTGTCCGTTTCTCTCTTTACAAAGACGCATGTTGCAGTCAGAGTCTTCTCTGAGATGCGAGCACGACATACAACACAATTTATCAAATTACACATCGGATATACAGTATGAAAATAAGATTGATTGGATTATACTCACAGGAAGTATAAAACCTGTTACATGTGTCTATTAAAAGTAAAGTAACACAAAAATGTCAGGGAAATTACTTTACTTAGATTTAAGTACTGCAGTTGTACATTTGAAATACCTTCCTACCTTTCTGATAGGAAGCCTTCTTGAGGTGGTATAAAACATTTCTTCTTATATTCTGATTTGAGTTGTGGACAACTATGACCACATGAATTAAAAAAATTAAACATT